CCATTGCAAAAAATTAAAAAATTAAAATGGATAAATTTGCCAATAAAATTAAAAACTTATAATTCGCTAATAGTTTGATACAAAATGTTACCTAAAATATATTTTTAAATTTGCTAGCGATTTAAATCTTAATTGCTATCCACCTTAGTTTCAAAACCTAAATAAAAATGTATACCAAACTGTAAGTTGTAGTAGTTTCAAAATAAATAAATTTACTAAATACATATTTTTAACAATTTAGATAAAACCGTTATAGCAAACGGGCTCTAAGTCACATTACGCATGATATGTGTCCTTGTATTCTCGGTTAAAATCCCTTTTGTATCCCTCTACTTTAACAAAAAATTCAATTTTAGTCCATCTACTTAAAAAGCTCCCTTTTTTATCTCTAAATTTTAAAATCTGACTATTTTTTTAGTCCTTTCATTATCTTTTTGCATGAATGTCACATTAAATAACAAAATTCCAAAATAAAGAGACTAAAAATGGCTTCTACTTTTTTTAAATAGAGGATAAAAAGAAGCTTTCTTTAGTCCCTTTTTAATATTTTCACTTTATAATTTCTATCATCTAATATTTTACATGTGTCAAAAGTAACGGGGGAACTAAAAAGGAGTTATATTTTAAACTTAAGAGGCTAAAAAGAAGTTTTCTAAGTAGAGGAACTAAAAATAAAATTTTTATTAAAATAAAGGTACTAAAATGGAGTTTTAATCATGTATCCTCTAATTTTGGTAAGAAATCGGTAAATGGTGGCATTAAGAATCAAAGTTTAATTTGGTCACGTACATATGCTAAGGCGTATCTAAACATGAAAAATGCATAACTTCTAGATCTTGTAATTTATTGTCTCATTATTTGATTTATTTTCCCCACGATTCATGAGCATATATATATATATATATTTAATTCCATTCTTTCCTTCTAGGGTTCCGCCTAATTTTTCAACTATAAAAGGCGACGTGAAGAATTGTCTTGCACACACACAATCTTGAAGAGACAATGAGTACCGCACCCAAGTACCTAGTTTTCTTTCTTGTTATATTCTTCTTCTTTAGTGCTTCAAAAGCACTTGAAGAACATAAACAATAGAATGACACAGTGCCGACCATTCACGTCATCAACGGCATGGCAAAGAACTCAGAAGCAGTTCAAGTTGCCTGCTGATCAGAAAGTGCTCGCGAGCTCGACGCGCCTACGTTGGGTTATGGGGAAAGTCATGATTGGAAAGTAGAATTTGAGAAGGAATTGTATGAGTGTGAGGGCGACTGGGGCAACTATTTCACCGATTGGCATGCTTATCAACCCAAGAGGGACACCAGACGAGGAGCGCTGTTTTGGCTTGTTAAGGAGAATGGAATCTTTTTCAGTCGGGATAAAACTAGATGGGTCAGAAAAGCTGGCTGGCGACTGATTGACATACTGGCATAGAATATTTGAATTCTGTTACACTTCAATATGAAGTTATATTCTCTGTATGCATCCACTAATAAATTGAGATCTTTCAGATTTATGCCTCCCTTTAATAGGGATTATGATTTGATTATGGATAATGATTGCTATACTTTTTCCTTCAACACATTTCATAATACACATTTTCAATTGTAAATTTTAATAATTAAATTAGTAATTGTTGATAAATGTATTAAATTAAAATTGTACCATTCTTCAATTGAACAAAGCCTTATTTGCTTGACTTTTTTTTTTTTTTTACTGTTTTATAAGAGTGTTATTGTTATTTGCTTGACTTAATTTTAAAGAATGACCATACGGTAGGCTCATTTGGTACTTTTTCCTTCAACACAATTCTTAATGCACACACTTTGAATTGTAAATTTTTATAATTGAATTGGTGATTGTTGATAAATATGTTAAATTAAAAGGTACACCAACCTTCAATTGAACAAAGCCTTATTTGCTTGACTTTTTTTTGTCCTGTTTTATAAGAGCATTATTGCTATTTGCTTGACTTAATTTTAAAGAATGACCATACGTAGGCTCATTTGGTACTTCATTGATTAACCCACATATCCATAGATCGAGTTGCTTTAAAAGGCAGTTAGCCATCCACCACCATCAAGATTACATTTATACATGGATTAGATGTTTTTTCTTTTAGTCCAAAGTTCTTCCAAAGATGAATGAATAGAAATGAAGCACATGGTAATTTTTTTTAGGGGTCGAACTAATATTCACTATTCTTGTTACCATTTTCCCTCCCAACTAAAAGAGATAAATCCAAAGGATTTCAATTTGCTGCCAACAATTTCACTAGAATCTGTTGTACACTTTTTAAAATGTAGACAAATTAACATCACATGATTACAATATATTATGTTAATGAGCTTAAATCAGGCGATGCATGATATGTGTCCTTGTATTCTCTAAGTTCGGTAAGAAATCAGTAATAAATGTGTCCTTTTATCATATAATTTTGATAAAAAAAAAATTAGTAAAGATCAAATTCTCTATTTGCACCATGCAAATTATCAACGAAAGGTTGGATCAAGTGGTAAGCGGCTTGCTTCAGCTTAAGCAAGATCTTGAATTCGAAACCTTGTGTACGCAGCAGCCTTCGTTGGGAGACCCACCCACCATTCTGGTGTGCCACAGCTAGTCGAGTCTGGAGTAATTGGAGCGAAGCCTGGGATACCGGGCGGGAAACCAAAAAACCATACAAATTATTTTTTTTCAATTAACAGTCTCTATAATTTTCACTTTTTGTTAACACTCTCATAATTTGAAACCCTTAAAACCCCAAACTATCAACAAATCAAGATGCAAATAAGGGATTTAATAGTTAATTTTTAAGTTTTTTCTACAGATTTTATATTATGAAAAGTATTAATCAAAAGTAAAATTTTTTTTAAATACATATTAAATATAGTAAAAAATAATTTAATTGATACAAATTAAGAATCTAACCATCGTTACATGGTGCTGTTAAGAATCAAAGTTTAATTAACCACATACGCTAAGGCGTATCTAAACATAAAATATCGTTAAATGCTAGGTCTTGTAATTTATTCTCATTATTTGATTTAAATCTTTTGATTTATTTTCCCCACGATTCACGGGCATATATATGTATATTCAATTCTTTACTTCTGGGGTTCCACCTAATCTTATTCAACTATAAAAGGGGACGAAAAGAATTGTCTTGCACACACACAATCTTGAAGAGACAATGAGTACCGCACCCAACTACCTTGTTTTCTTTCTTGTTGTATTCTTCTTCTTTAGTGCTTCAAAAGCACTTGAAGAACATAAACAACAGAATGGCGCAGTAACGACCGTTCACATCATCGACGGTATGGCGAAGAACTCAGAAGCAATTCAAGTTCGGTGCAGTTCATCAAGTTCTGGCGATCTCGGCCAACGTACGATTCGTCCTGGGGACAATTATGTTTGGAGTGTAAAATTTGAGAAGGATGTGTATTATTGTGCAGCCGTGTGGGGCAGTTATTTCGCCTCTGTGCATGCCTTTGAACCCGAGAGAGACAGCGGGCATGGGACGGTGTTTTGGCTTGTTTATGAGAATGGATTCTTCCTCAGTTGGGATAATTCTAGCTGGGTCAAAAAAGCTGACTGGGAAACTGAGTGACTGAAAATATTTGAATTTTGTCTACTCCTTAATCAGAGTTGTAATCTCTGCATACTATCATCAATAAACTAATGTTTTGTTCAAATTTTTTGATTTTTAAATTAAAAAAAAAAATTAGGGGCTCTTTTAACCATCCACCACCATCTAGATTTATACGTAGATTTGTAGCTTTCATGTATGGACCGACGGTAATGATCTGGTTGAGGGGAATGGAGGGAAAAGAGAAAAAGAGAGGAGAAGATTTTTTAATCAATTAAATTATAATTTAATTGATTAAAAAATCTTCTCTACATTCTTTTCAATCCAAACATATAGTTAGTTTAAAATTCCTATAGAGATGAATGAATAGAAACAAAGCACATGTAAAGTCCCAACATCAAAATATCATCCATTTTTTTAGCCCCATGTATATTATTAAGGTTTTGATATAATCAATACTATTATGCACCCACAACTCTAGCTGCGCCTTGGTTTTAGTTTTGTTAAAACCAATCCCCCTTTTTCAAATTCCCTCATGTTCAAAAAAAAAAAAAAAAAAACCATGATTTTTTCTTTCTGGTCATCTGAATCA